TATATAAAATTCAATTTTTTTTTTAAGAAAATCGAAATGTGATTCTACCCTCCTGACTCTCCTCTATATTACCCCTTGTTTTTTTGAATTTCTATGCAGTCTTCATCGAGATATTCTTTCCGTCGTGGGTTCTGGTGTGTCCAAAACATGCAATATGAATGAAGAAAATGTCACTAAACGGACTCAAAAAACATAGATTTTACGAAATCTCACTACAGATCAATGCTAAACATTCAAACAAATCCTGTTTTATATATTTATTGAGATTTGGCTACATACAAGGGAATCGCTGCTCAAAATTGCATTTGAGCTCCAGATGTGCTGAAGAGATTCATATGTGCATAGCATGAAAAATTTGCAACAATCTAGAATTAATTCTATTGTGTATCATTCTGTAATAAATACTATTATCCGAAATAGACACATTTTCACGAGACGAGCTTGAATAACATAGTATCCATATAGAAAGAGATATAAGACATTCTGCATACGAAAGGTTTTTAAAATACGTAGATATGGTGGGAAGGCCTTTTTTGACTTATTGACGTTGTGTGTACTGCAATCTTTCCCTTTTTATGCCACCATGCATTAACTAAATTAATTAATTAATTAATTATTCACTCGATTGCACTGTCTGCTTAATAGGAGAGTAATGTGAAGCGTGTTTGAATTTGTTATGATGCTGTAAGAAAGTTAGTGATAAACTTTTAAAAAAAGATCAAAGAAGATTTGCATATTTATTTTCCACATTAAGAAACGTCCCTGCAGTATATTTACATGGTTCACTTCATGCCCACAGTCGCAATTATGGGTCAATGCCTATCTGAATTTTATGCCTGCTCTGTAATTCTTTGAATGGTTTTAAAGAAACTTTAACATATCTTAACCGTATTGAGCGGACATGCGTAGCTCATAATGCACATAGATTGTTTCCTGAAAATGTTCATGTACGCAAAAAGATCACTAAACTTATTCTCCGCTTTATAACTGTTATTTCAGTGGGAACTGTAAATTATAACCACTTCCGTAATTCGTTTCTTTTGTTATTTTTCAGGAAAATGGGTCGTGTTCTAGGCACACAAAAGAAAGGTTTAAAACTTTCAAGAATAAAACGTAACGTGTATCGTGAAAAGAGGAAGTCACCAGCGCTTACATATCCCTTTTTCGCCTTTTAAATTGTCCCCATGTGTCAAAAGATTCCGCGTATCGCAGACTCCAAAGTCCAAGAATTCACCAGAAAGTGCACGTATTTACTTTTTTTCAATTCAAAGAAAAAACGCTTAATATTCAATTCACAACTATTAAGTCCCATGAAATGTTCTCCACAGAAAGGATTTGCAAAGATAAATAAAGTCAGTTGCAATGAACAGATAGACATTATGGATTACATGGGTTACATAAAAAGTAACCGAGGTTTCGGGTGGGAAATTTAATTTATGGAGAGAAGTCAATCATAAATTGAAATTTTATGTTTATTAAAATTCTCATTTCTGTTTATCATGCGATAAAACAGTTATAATATATTGAACTCGACTATTATGTAAAAATATCATGACCTGAGGCGGCATCTCGGGTCAATATGTTCTCGGGCCATATCCTGCAAAGAAAAACCTTCGATGTCGCATCAGGCCATGATATTTACACATAACAGTCTGTCGCTATAACTATAACTTGTGGAATATTAAAGTTATAGATATTTTTATGAATGTAAACATTATTAAAGAAACATATTATATGACACGATAGGTACTCATAAGAAGTACTATCCGCTCTGCGTCAACATTTTCATGTACTCGAGCCTTTTAGTATTTCTAATGCTAGCATAAGCTAGTAAGCTCTGTCACTGTGGTAATCAAACACACTAATGTTACAATTAAACTTTCAGCCAAAGATGCAAAACCTATATTGTTTCTATACATTGGCTATTCAATGATTATATGGAAGAGGTCCGTAGTTTTGTAGATGGTTTTCTACATCACTTATGAATCTCTTCAGTACATCTGGAGCTCAAATGCAATTTTGAGCAGCGATTCCCTTGTATGTAGCCAAATCTCAATAAATATTTAAACCAGGATTTGTTTGAATGTTTAGCATCGACCTGTAGTGAGATTTCGTAAAATCTATGTTTTTTGAGTCCGTTTAGTGACATTTTTTTCATTCATATTGCATGTTTTGGACACACCAGAACCCACGACGGAAAGAATATCTCGATGAAAACTGCATAGAAATTCAAAACAACAAGGGGTAATATAGAGGAGAGTCAGGAGGGTAGAATCACATTTCGATTTTCTTAAAAAAAGGATTGCATTTTATGTAAATGTTTGAAAAGATGAAAACTTACCCTGCGATCGGCCTATTTTTCCAGTCACATCTGATGTTATGCTTCACATCTGGTGCAGCAGAAATTCACATATCATTTTTACCGATGCTCAATTTTGAGATTCATATGGGGTTCCACCCCCGTGATTAGGCATGGACGCACAATTTAATATGGCATTTTCCAAGTCTTTTATTAAAATAGATTTATTGCTGCTAGATTTAAATTTAACGTTATATGCCCGCAAAAGCTGCTGTATCTGTACCTTTGTCATTACACTAAATACATCCACTTTGCTCAAAACTAGACCTGTAATAATGGAATGGGACATTGCTCTGTTTTCTGTCACATCATTCTGTATGGTCGAAAAAGTAACTGTCTTAACAGACGATGACTCTTTCTTTTGCTTCTTAACTTGTATCTGTTTTCTGTGTGCCATAGTTTTTGCAACAGAAAATGACTGTAACTTGTCCTTTCTAAATTGGTTGAACATAACCATAAAAAATGACTGGGCTATTTCTTCAAATAGGCAATGAAGCAACAAAGTGGGTGTATCATGTACATCTCTGAATAAGACACTTGTGCATTTTCTACCTCTAACAACGCTAGAGAACTTCTCAATCAAGGTAGAACACTTAAGCAGTTCAGCTAAACAATATGTATGTAGATTTTCTCCATGTAATTGGAAGTTTTCTTCATTTAACAGTGAAAGGCACTTTTCGCTTAAATGGACGAAAAATTCAAACAAGTTGTCAGAAATGTGATATAACCCTCTGTTAAGATTTTGCTTTCTCGTTACATCTATCAGAGAGTCCGGAGCAGATGTGACTTTTTTTAAATAATTTTCCTCTTCTCTTAAGCTGTTTAAGATATTCAATTTTTCAGCAGCATCGTCAAATTCTAATTGCTTTTCCGGACTCAACAGATACATTCGTGACCGTTGCAATCGTAAATATTTTTGCGTGGTCTTACTTAAACAGTATCCTCCCACGTAACGTATTCTTGCTTTCGAAGCATCCGTCACAGTTCTGCTAGAACTTTGGCTAGAACTTACCGGGAATAATTTTGATTTTTCCTTTAACAAAAAGTTTCTTACGGCAGTAGTTATTTTAAAACAGATATGCGAGTGAATATTATTAAACGGCTGAAATAGCATAGCGCATGCTATCCTGTACGAGTCGCTTGTTTGATGAATATGACACTGTCTATAAAATTCCGTCATTGTTTCTGATTTAACAGGGGCAGGTTCACAAATGTTCATATCATCTACAAGTTTGCCAATACTTTTGAACTCATTCTGACAAAATTCGTTTAATTTAACATGGTCTCCGTTGATCATTTGGCTTATAGCATCATTCATTTCTTTTTGAATAGGAGTTAATGGGTTATCAAATATGCATTCCGTTAGAATTGTGTTAATGTTAAAACCCTCTGGCATCTGAAAATCAGTAGATATATCAGTTTCCCCTAAATTGATTTCTGCAATGATACGGTCAAGTTCTTCGTCGAATTCATCATCTTCCATATCAATCATTTCAGAGTCTTCATCTTCGCCAGTAATCAGAATATCTTGCCGTTCCTCGAAAGTCCTTCAAAAATAAAAGAAAAGAAATGCATGTTGATTAATTTGTGAAAAGCCTGCAATTGTATACAAATAGCCGGCATAACAATAAGAATTTCCGGGCGCGCTGTTATGCCGTTAAACGTCGTGACGTCATAACACTGACGTCAGAACAATGATTTGTTAAAGAAATAATTTAATCTTATTTAGTGATTTGTCACGAGGATATACGAAATGTTAATCTCACGATAAAAATAAGTTATCTATATATAACAAAATATGCAACAAAAGGTCAATATCTCGATACAAAATGTGTTCCTTCAGTGTTACGAGCCAGGCGTAACGAGAAAGAAAAGCCAGCAACAAACTTGTAACAATAACAAATTTATAAAAAAATAATTATTAAAGAAAAATTAAATAACAATTTATGTTTACAAATACCTGAAATCCAAATAAAAATTAAATCTCAAATGTCTAGTCTGATCCTGGAATGATCCTTTTTGAATAGCACAGTTAAATCCAAGTAAAATCCAAGAACACTTTAGAATAAATTTCCACAATAAAATCCACAAAAATAATTCAAACTATTTTAAAAATAATCCAAGCTCCAATAAATCACTTAATATCCAAGTTGAATAATACTCCAAATATATTGATGACTTAAAAGGTAACTGATGACTTAAAAAAAATAATGAAAAATGTCCCTTTATATATATTAACTAAGAAAATTCCAGAAAAGTCTATTATGTTCTACAGTAATCATAATCTAGCAACTTCAACAATAAAGAACATTCCGGAAGTTTCTATCTAAATATAATGCATGAATCATAATCTAAAATTTTCTACAACAGGTAAGAAACTTCTTGTTGACATGTATGTAGTTATGTTCTAAAAATAGAACCATGATAATATTGGAAATACCAACTGGTCAGATATAAATTATACATGTAATATGTTGCATACATAACATCAGTATTAAGAAATATTTATAAATAGATTTTAAATACACTTGGTAAGTACTTTTTAAGTGGAATAATTTGTTAAAAAGGATATATTTCAATAACTTTCCAAATTTTGATTGTATGTAAGTTATCATTTAAAGTTTCTGACTACATGTAGTTCATTCTTTTGTACATGCATTGTCTAATAAATGTATCACGATGCAGTGATTTGCTAAAACCATTAGTTCGTAGAAGCCATCAAAATTATGTTTCTGTTTGTTTCAGGCTTCTGGATCGAGTTCTCGAAGCCGATGGAAGGGAAGATATGACAACCTTATATGAATCGTATCGCCTTGAAACTATAGACAAAGGGTGCGAGTGTGAAATGGATAGAAGAGCCTTTGTCGACATTTTCCTAAAACTATTTCAGAATGCTGTTAGAAAGAAAGTTCGGCAAGGTCAGTCTGTAAAAAATGTGTATGAAGGTATCAGACTTAAACCACTAGATCCTCTACTACCTTCTATCGGCACGCACTCGTTTGAACAGTTGGAAGGCATATTACCGCCTGATTTTTTAGTAAAAGAACGCAGTAAAGAGCGTCTTATATGCAACGTGGACACACCCTTTAAATCAAATGGCAATACTGTACAGAAGAACGTCACTTTTCAAAAGAATTTGATATTTTCAGTTAGTGTCGGACAACAAACAGTAGATCTTAAACAGTTAGGTATTTCTAATAGATTCCTGCTCGACCAAGATAGTATAAAACTTGTGTGTAAAATCATAAGAAAAATTGAACTTTGTCAAGGGATCGAAATGAAAAAGGCCATCACATGTACTCGTTTCCACACGCTTGATACTTGGAAAAATGAAAATGTTAATGAAACGACAAAACGTATTAGGTCAGTTCTATGCTTAAGGGTGGTAACATTTACATCCAAAACGAACGTGTGTAGGATATGCCAGCATATGACCATGGAAGTAAAAACACCAGGGAAAGAAAACATACAGATAAGTGAGTTTTCAGGAAAAAACATTACAAAAGAGCAGGTGAAAATATTAATACCCGGGGCTCCTGAAGAAATGGTTGAATTTTTAATCAGCCAGGCGAAGAATGTATGTACGACCCCAAACGGCAGGCGGTGGAGCAAACCTATTATGTCCAAATGTCTCCAGTTATATGCCAAGAGCCCTCATTTTTACAAGCAATTGAGAGATTCTAAGCTGGTTGTTCTACCTTCACCTGGTGTTATTGTTTTGTACAAGAATAGGGTAAAACATGAAATTGGGTTTCAAGACGATATTTTCAGGTAAATGAAAAATGCGTTTATACTTTCGATCACAAAGTAAAAATACTTTTCAGCCAGTAAATTCCATATTTTTTTGTAAAAAAAATGTAATTGAAATAAAAGCGCATAATGGCAGTTGTCATAAGAAAGGACCCAAATCAGTCTGTAAAATCGTCTAATATGATCTGGATACATACTGGTGGCAATCATCAAAAGACCCTTTTGATACGCTCAATATGTGTGAATGATAAACAATATAACGAATCTACAAGTAAAATGGTTTCCTGCGGTGAACATTTTAATGATATAAAGATATTTCATTAAACTATTTTCAATTTTTTTTTTTGGGGGGGGGGGGGTAAATAAACGTTTGTATCAGGAATATAGTTGACAATTGAATAAACGATCAATATAGAAGAAGGTCTTTGGAAACTGGTGAACGTTGAAGACCGGAGAAGGTCGAACATAAAACAATTATTTCTTTTTAAGAAAATGATCTAATAGGCCTACCATTTTATGAATAATTCCGAGCAAAAAATAAATAACGTAAACACACAAGTTTACGCAGAAAATATCTCTATTTATTATGGCAGATGCCCCTACGAATATTTTAATTCTGTAAATTTTCAGTATAAACAATTCATTGTTTGTAAAATTTGAGATAGATATTAAAGAAATATTGATAATTTTCAAACACATCATTCAAATTTTTCCACCTTAAACGGTAAAATAATTATAGAAAATTAGAAATATCACGTAATAGTTTTTTGTTCTTGAAAAGCTGTTATTCGGACTTAAATCCGTAACGTACCGGCAAACGGTATTTAGCTAGGTTTTCGAAAAGGTCAATTAACCAATCATATACGGTTTACAGATCACATGCTCCTCCATGTACCGAAAACAGGTCACGTGCTCCTCCATGCCTCAAAAGTTAAACGCGTACCAATACCCTGCGGTCTCCAGACCGCAGGGAATAATATGAACGAAATGCGCTTCATAGCAAATTTGTTCCTTGTTGCCTTAACAGATATTTAATTTTGCAGTTTTGATACACATTCAAACTGTTTAAAATTTGAATTAATTTATATTGTCGAAATTGATTTAACAATGAGCTTTCAAACTTTTTGTCACAGAAAACGCGTGGCAGTTAGGCAAATAAAATATATAACCTTAGTTAGGCAAATAAAATATATAACCTTGTTCTTTACATATTTTTTTTCATTGAGGTGAGATATACTAGTATTCCATATTTAATCAAAATGTAAGTTTTTTTAATTCTTATAAGCATATATTATTAGTTATAAAGATTGTTGACGGGTTATATGGCCCTATCTAAACGGTTATTTGTAAATATAACACGAGCCGCCTGTCGAGGGTTATATAGCAAAAAACGTTTTGAAATTTTCATTTTATAAAATTATTTGAATCGATAAATATAATAAATAAAATTTCTTCAAATAATTTGAAATTTAGACACAAGTTGCAAGCAGATCGCCATTAGTCTACTATGAGTGATATACTGCCATTGTTATGGGTTATATCTCACTGTTAAAACACTGAAGCATAAAATAAATTACGATACCCAATTTATTATGGTGTTTCAGACGTACACAACTACCTTAAGGATCTATTTGATTATGTTTCTCAACCCATATAATTATATTTCTTTTTAAAAGATGGATGCATTGTGAAGCTAGACGTCTTGAACTACCCGAAGAAAGTTGGGATGGTGGAATTCTTGTAGACGAAATGGCGATACAAGAAGACATTCAAATCAATAAACATGGGGACATCATTGAACTTACAGGCTTTGAAAATGTTGGCAAGGAAGCTATGACATGTGGAATTCTTAGAAAAGGAAAAAAGGAAATTTCTCTTGGAAATCACGTGCTTCAATTTATTTTTCTTGGGAACAGCGGTTTCCGTTTTCCTTTTGCCCATTTCATCTCTACTAATGTTCAAGCTTATGAACTGGACACACTGTTCTGGGAAGCTGTACATCTTCTAAAAATGTATGGTTTTAATGTTTCATATGTATGCATGGATGGTGCCCAGAGTAATCGCACGTTCATGCATATTAATATTGGGAAAAACGCCACGTCTATGATTGCACAAAATCCTTGTGAGCCTGAAAATCCAGTGATATTCTTAATGGACTCTTCACATGTTTTTAAGAAAATTAGGAACAACGTTATTAAGAGCGGAATCATAAAAGGGTGTACACGACACCTTCAACTCCCGAACGGTGATATTATTAATTGGGCAATGTGGGCAGATGCCTATACTTGGGATAAGGCAAACGCGCTTCAGTTGCACAGGAAACTTACTAATGAACATATATACCCATCATCACAATCGAAAATGCGAAACCATCTGGCTGAACAGGCTTTAAATTCTGATATGCTACATCTAATGCTACAATACCAATTGTCTCTGGGAAGTAAAGGTAGTATATTAAATGGTGCAATTGAATTTCTAAAGAAAACATCCATACTGGTCTGACTGTATCAGAAGTGGAAAACCCGGAATCTTTCCGCGGAGAAAGAAAGTAAACTCATTTCGCAACAATGTTTTAGAAGATGTCCGACGTGTTTAATAGGGTTTCGCGGATTATGTTTACAAAAGTGGCTTTTGGAAAAAAAAACAGGTAAACATTATTCCAGCTCTTATCAACTCGGACGCTGTCGAGAATCATTTCTGCCAGGAACGTAGTACATACAATGGGGCCAACACCAATCCAAATGCCCTTCAATACAGAAACAACCTTAATTCTATAATTCTCGGGCAAAATAGTGTCTCCCATAAATCAAACACTGGGAAATCTCTAAAGTCACCTGCACTGACATACGGTAAATGCAAAACTGTAAAAAGAAAGAAAAGCGATACTAACGGCAGCAAATGTCCAAAACCTATAAAGGTTATAAGAATGTAATGTTGTATAACTATATGGCAAAAATGTAAGAATAACTCTTGGTTGTTATGCAAATTTGAGACATACCTTTTGTGATGCCGGCAACAGCTTAGGTCACAGTCCAGTGCCCGAGATGTCTGTGCAATAAATGCATGTATTTCTTCTGGATGTGATAAGCATACACTAGGGTGGAAGTTAACAATTCTTAAACCGTCCGGTGTTCTTACTCTTCCCATAGCCACGCCAAGTTGACCAGGTTTGAAGATCTGTTGACAATCGACTGTTACCCTGTATATATGTAACACATATGATCTTAAAATTAATAGATTTGATGTAGGAAGTCAACTGTGGTAATATAATGACTTAAATAATGAAATCAGATATTTCAAAAAAACAGCAGACAGTTTATCAATTTTAACTATGTTCTTGTAGTTAATTGTCAATATATTTACATATTTCTTTACATTTTCAATAAAATATTGTTTACAATACCTGTCTAGCGTCATTCCTTGTGACTTGTGAATCGTTATTGCATACGCCAGCTTCAGTGGTACTTGTACTCTAGTAGCTACTGTCATGTTCTTATCCGGATTAAATACTGTAAAATATAAATGAATTTACTATATATATATTATATATATATATATATATATATATATATATATATACTGTAACCCAATTTATATTCGCGAATACAAATTTTCGCATTTTGCCGAGGTCGGACATATTCGCGAATATTAATTTGCGCGTTTTCTTGATTTCCGAAAAAAAATATTCGCGGATTGGAAAGTCCGATTGGGCCGTAAAATCCATTAGCCGACTATTAATCTTCAATAATTGGGGTCATTATTGGTGTCTTCGATGGGATTAACAATACGCTAGCCTTATATTGTATTGGTAAGTGAATTGTGATCACGGAACGTGATTGACAATGGGCCTACTAGTATTTCATAAACTGTAATCAAAAACGCTAATTTAAATGTGCCGAAGCTCTCGGCCTTGTGGCCTTCTTCAGCAGCATTTATTTTACATACCTAAATATACATATATATACATGATCTATATTTTATATTTTGCATCTTTAGTTTTGTTGGTATAATTATAGTGAATTATTATTTGACTGCATGTTCAGGGCTACTTTTTTCAGTTGTTAAACATCAAACATGTACTTACTTGTAAATTGTAAATCTATGTTCATTTGAATTCAATATTTACCTGAAAAAGATACTTTCTCCACCTTTGTTGTACAGTTAATTGAAGGAAAGTGGACTATGGGAGACGTGTCTTCAAAATCCACAACCTTGCCGCGGAGTCCATTAACTAGCTTATTGTTGAGATTCCTTATCAAAATCACCGGGCACCCTTCCTTTAGCCACAAACGTGGTGGTGCTGTGCTTTTAATTAGCATTCGAACGTCTCCAGAATCCTCTGACACAAACTCTCTTATCACACCAGGACCGTTCAGAATTTGGCGTCTATTGTAAACATTTACTAAATCATTGTTTGAAAATAGCATAACTTCATTGCCAATAGGGAGAGGTCTGTCTAAAGTCTTTATATACGAAATCGACTCGGGTGATACAATACCCTTTGACACTTCATGAATAACATTAATGAAACGCTCATTGTCTTGCCTTACAACACGATTTAGTACCACTTTGTGTGGTAACACCTTTTCGAATAAAGGACATGTGAAGCACATGGCCCCCTCATCATTATAGTTTCTATTGGGCACTGGCGCCAGTTGTAAAAAGTCCCCGGACACAATAATTTGTATTCCTCCAAATAGCTTGGTACTATCTTTGATCGAACATATGTCGCACAACTGTTGAAAAAGCTTCGCACTAAGCATGGATATTTCATCTATAATCAACACGTCTGCCGTTATTATATTTTGTAAAATCCTACTGTACTTTGGCGAATTTTTTATCAAGTTGCAAAGCTCAATAGACGTGTAACGACCGTCTTCCAATCCAGCCCATCGGTGAATTGTTTCAGCTTGGACCCCAAAATTTGTGCAAGCGATGCCAGTTGTACATGTTAAAAAAACATGTTTACCTTGAACTTTCAGTTGCTCATAGATTTTACCTATTGTATAGGATTTTCCTGTACCTGGTTGACCAATTAATATAAAATTGTGCCCTGACACTGCTGTCTGAATTGCTTCTTGTTGTTTGTCAATAATCAGACCCGACATTGTTGATATTGCGTAATTCGAAACCCTAGCTAAACTCCGTTTTCCGGTACTTTTTGTACATAGCTCTGAGGGAGTGTAATTATGAACTCTATGTTTTTTGGCCTTAAAAGGTTAATTATTTGTAAGAAAGTAATTAAATATCATTGTATGAATAATTCCATACAAAGTATAAAGTAAATACCACAGTTTACGCAGAAAACAATGTCATTTTTATGGAAGATGCCACTGCGACTGTTTTATTGATTTTCATTATAAACAATTTAGTTTTTGAAAAGAAATTGCGATAGATATTAAAGAAATATTGATAATTTTTCAAATACGTTATTTTTTCCAACCTTAAACTGTAAAATAATAAAAGAAAAATAGAAATATCACGATTGTATCATGTACTTTATTTGCAGCTAAAACCCGTAACGTACCGGTGGTCAATATGCTTCCTGCGCCAGCAACTGAGCGCAGAACAGTACGGTGTAGGTTTTGTACTTTCGGTTTCGACAAAATGGCCGACCATCAACGGAATTTGCAAGATTTTAACAAATTGGAGTGTCCGAGTTTAAATGTAAGACATTTAAGATTTTATATAAGGTAGACGAAGAATGTTAACAATTTTCTAAATGCATGATGTATAAAGACTAGCAAAATAGCTTGAATTGTTACAGAACTGGACATTGTGGTTGTTCCACAGCGTGTCCTAGTAAAGCTCCATAGCGTTACGGCTACTAGGTGACCTTTTCATAGTAATGTTATATAGGAAAAAAAAAAATTTCAAATTCTTTTGTTCTTTCACTCAACCCAGGATAGTTGTTTAGGTGTTGATTTTTTTTTTTCTTTAACTTCAATTTTTTTTATATAGGCACCAAGACTGGACGAGCACCTGTGACATACATAGCCATGCATGTATTTATCAAAAAAACTCAAATCAGAAAAATTCTAGATTTAAATATACTTTTCTATTACTTTCAACTCCCTATGTTTGCATAATTGTAAAAGAATTTTCCATTTAATTTCCAATAATAACGACAATGCTATTGAAAAAAGATAAAATTCATGGCACAAATTAAAATGCTACGCTTTTATAAGGTTTAGGACAATCTTTTTTCCTATTATATTTAGCCATTTATCTGTCAAAGCTGTTTTTTTGCGAAATAATAAGTTTGCCGGCATTTCTGACCGTACGCCATTCGTTGAAGGCATTTAATGCCCAATTTGTAGATTTTTTGGTATTTTTTGGAACAGACTGCTCCAATCGTTCACGTATGTCACAATCCTCAAGGCTATCAAAGCGGCTTGTCTCAGAACATTCTAACGCCATTGGCAACGGTATATTCATGGATTTTTTGTCTTGATTTTCAGAAAGCAAAAATTTGCTTTGATCACTTTCGTCCATGTTGATTGATATTTCGTTGATAAAATCCTCGACATTTTGTAATAGAAGAAAATTCACCCTAACTGTATCAATCCCCAGATCTCTCTCAGTCTGATCAAAGTACTGAGATAAAGCAATATCTTCTTCATAAATGTCCAGATGTTGAGACAAAATTTTGTCTTCTAAATTTTCGGTGAACGACAAATTGCCATTCCAAGCCATGCCGAATCATGTGAATGTACCCGTTTACTTGAAGTAAAACTTTAAAATGAGACAGACGACTGAATAGAGAAAAGGGTCCATGCCGCTACCAATGAAAATGTAGCTTCCACGCGGGGAAAAATCAGCCCATTATTTTGATTGACAGCTCATTTCACGTCTTTGCTGCTATGCAAATTCAGATCAAAGGGATAAGATTTTCTGGGCGGAGCAATAGGTTAAAACAGTAGCGTCATGTTATTTTGATTGACAGCTCATTTTACGTCATTTCTGCTATGCAAATTAAGATCGAAGGAGTAAGTGTTTCTGGGCGGAGCTATAGGTTAAAACAGATACACCATTTGGTGCGTTGGCGGATTGCTGGGCTTGCCGTAAAAATTATACCATAAATCACGTGAACCTTTCTATGCCTTGACCTCACGAACGAATCCAAAATCGTCAACGCCAGCAATGGTGATATTTATTACTTTTACTATCATTTATCATGTACCATCCTCTATAATACATTTCCCAAATTATAAATTTGTCGGAAGTTATCGTTTAAGCTCTTATAAGTATAATATCTTACAAAAATATAATGGTTTTCCTTTTTGAATAACTTATTTACATCAGGTACTTCTTCACTAGCTTATTTTATGCTTTATTAACAACTAAACGGAGTTTGTCTTTTTATATAATCTTTATCTTGTAACACTATCGGAAGCACAATTATTTTAAACATTCCTTAATCTTTTGGAATACAAAAAAACCTCAATTAAATGTTTCAAATAATAAACTTTAAAAAAGCTTTCTATTGTGCGAGATTTTTCTATCCTCATTATCAAATATAAATAATAAAATATGTTATATTTATATTTTATAATGATAGAGGTATGCGAATAAAAAACCTCAATATATATAACTTATACATGTAAATGAACAGAAAAATGTCACATAAAATTTGAATTCAGCAATATTAACAGCAGATTGAGTAAATGATATATATTCAAAGATCAGATAACAATGTAAATATTGGTCAAATATATATCGTGTGTAAAATAAATTGTCTTAAATTCTGTTTTTACCAACATGCAGGGGCTGTAAATATTACTAGATAATAAGGTTTGTACACATTATTTGGACAAAGCAGTTTATCATGCACTCAGGATAACGGTATGTTGTTTTTAGTATATTAATACAGAACCGTACGTGAAGTACGGAATTTAGTTATCTTCCTTTCTGGAAAACACCGTGGAGAAAAAAGTCGAATTCATTTGCAGAGAAGCATTTCTTTTTTAATTACTATTTTCTTCACTTATTAACAGTATTTCTTTTGCACAATTGATACCTGATTATAAATAGTCCATTTTGGCTCTGTATACATGTCATGTTTATTCCAAAAAGAAAGTTTATAGACGGTAAAGAATTTGGTCACGTTGCAATCGCGGGCGTTGCCACCGCATGCTCGATGATGACGTCATAATTACAATTCTTAATTCTTGAGGAATAGGCCTATTCTATTTAATTAGTACAAAAGCACATGTTTTTAATCATTGTCAGCTACCATGATATGTTGGTTTCTGAACACTGGTGCCCTAGCGGCCTAATAATAAATATTTATTAATGACTTCAATTATGACTTTCAATTTCATAATTAGATATAGAGCGAGATCTATTTGATATGATATATATAAGTCGTCATCATCAGATGATATACTTCCAGTACAACTAATAATAATGATATATATAATAATTAAAAAATAATAATAATAAATAAATAAAAAAATTAATACATAAATAAATAAAAATAAAATAAATAAACTAAATAATAAATAGCAAAATAAAAATATCTAGAATCTAATGATATTAATAATAGGTTCTATATAGAATATCTAGGTCGATAAATAAACTGGTATTTTTATTTATTGAATAAATTACCAGCTAATCTGGATTAGAACCTAGTGCCCGAAAACAGCCTTACTAATGTCAACTGATTATTTAATATCTTTTTTAAATTTTTTATTAATAAAATTATCTTTGTCGTAGATGCCAAAAGCAAAACCAAGGTCAAGGAAGACTAGGTCGGAATTAAGGGAAAATAATCAACGAAAGGTGTCCAGCCCCTGCATCAGCAGGTCTTGCAGCGTAGGGCACGTCAGTCACCCCCTGATGTCCAACCACCTGTACAGCCTCCTGTGATTTTGAACAGCAACCTGCTGTCCAGCCTTTTTTTTGTTGACATACAACAACCTGTTCAACCACCTGTCAGTCAGTCTTCTTGTACATCAGCCTACATCAGTAAACTTTCAGCCTCCTGTGATTGTGCAGCAACCTTGCTGTCCAGCCTTTTCTTGTTGACGTACAGCAACCTGTTCAGCATCAACTTCTCAATGTACAGCCACCTATGCCCCCCCCTTTT